AGTGTCCAGAGCATACTCACGTCTGCTAGCAGAAGCTGAACGCACAGTTCCAGCAAACAAAACACCTCACGAACATGTCTTCGACAAAGCTATGATCGCATCGATCGACAACGGCCTCCACCCACATATCCGCACGGAGATGAATCGGAAAGATGCGAACGAAACATTCATGGAATCCACAGGACGAGCTCGAAAACACGAAGCTAATCGGTTGCAAGAATCACCGATTCCGTCCAACGATACCTCTCTTGCTGCATCTTCCATGTACGAATCGACCGGAAACCAGCTCGGCAACCAGAACGAGTTGCTGACAGCGCGAGTTAATGCCCTAGAGGAGGCCATCGAACAAGGTCACCGAGTAGCGAGCGTCAACAACAAAAACACCAAAGACCGGTCGCGCGACAACAAAGCCAAGAAAACCCCGGCGTATCGTGACAAAGGCACCAAAACGGTGACCTGGCGGGACCGCATCGGCAGTCGAGATGGGAAATCGGCTAGCAAGAAACAACGCACCGACCCTGACGAGGAATGTGATTTTCCCCTGTGTAAACACACAAAAGGGAGATTCACGCACGGCCGTGCAGACTGCCACCACGAAGCGACCGTGAAGAAGCACAAGTTCAAGACTGTGCAGCAACCATAGGGTTGCCCGCGTAAGCTAGATCTCTTGGCTGATGGGGGAAAACAGTCGCTTGGGAAACGTACCAAGTCGGACAAGAGGGATACCGAGCACCGAAAAAAGCGTGTTCAACCTCTGGTGGGAAGTAATCAGGAAGCAGATGAGGTGCACCGGAAAAAGGCAGCCGTAGTACTACGTGGTAGGCAGCCATACGTGATGGATCAACAGTCGCGTAGGGTATGTCTCGACAGGAGTGCTCCAGTAGCTGCGCAGGTCGACACCGTTGCCCCAGTCAACAGTAGTGTTAAAGCCGCAACAGACGCGAGTAGAGAAAAACTAGCGGTCGAACGAGCACCGCAGGCTCTATACGTAGCTACCGTAACTGGAGGTCTCACGTCGAAACATAGGCCGAGAATATTGACTGCCGACAATAATAATGAGGAATTTTCTGCATTCCACATGTCAGCGCTAGCTGGATACCCTGAAAATCCATCTGCGTTGAACGCTGCGTCAAAACGAGTACGCATTCCTGCCAGAATCAACAATCAATCGGTTGCTGAAATTACAATCGATACAGCGTGTGACGTACCATGCATATCTGCACAATTTATGCGTCGTCACCAAACGCTGAAAGACACGGAAATATTTCCTGTGCCACCGGGAGCAATAAATCTGCGAAGCGCAGATGGTTCACCTCTTAAAATTAGAGGGTACACTCGGTTTGAACTTACACTGGGAGAAATAACGATTCCTGTCGAAGCACTAGTGTTGCCGTCGTTGGGACCCGATAATATGTTACTAGACAATAGTATCATGGGAGCATTCGGTGCTGTGTTAGATTGGCAAGCGGAACAGCTGTCATTCAAGAATTCAGAGGTAAAAATACCCGCGACACACCGAAAAACAAAACAGCCCGCGACCGCATCGGCAGATGGAATTAATTGCTCGATAGTAGCATTAGACGGTGATACAGAACCAGTGCCTGTCTACCTCAGCAAGAAATGCTGCGTTCCTGCCCAACACGAAATAGCANGATTGTAGCATTAGACTGTGATACAGAACCAGTGCCTGTCTACCTCAGCAAGAATGCTGCGTTCCTGCCCAACACGAAATAGCAGTGGAAGTACATTCACTCGAAGCTCCGGCAGAAACAACACCGGCTTTGGTAGAACCACGCATAGTCACAACGGAAGACATGCAGGTAAAAGGTATGCCACAAGCGTTTCGCAGGATAATAATAGCACGCACTGTGTGTCACTGGTCCGCGAATAACAAAGGAGCGGTGGTCCAAATAGCCAATCCCTCCAATCGGCAAGTCACCTAGTGTACCTCAAGAAAAACACGCTATATGCTCAACACCCACTCGCCGTCGTCATCTTTCTGGTTAATCGGTGTACAGCACCGAGGGCAGGGGGCGNGGTATGCCACAAGCGTTTCGCAGGATAATAATAGCACGCACTGTGTGTCACTGGTCCGCGAATAACAAAGGAGCGGTGGTCCAAATAGCCAATCCCTCCAATCGGCAAGTCACCTAGTGTACCTCAAGAAAAACACGCT